AGAAGTTCAAGACCACCCTGGGCAATATAGAGAGATCTCCATCTACACTAAAAATGTAAAAAGAAAATCGGGGTATAGTGGTGTATGCCCATGCCCAGCTACTCAGAAGACTGAGGCAGGAGGCTGCAGTGAGATGATTGTGCCCCTGTATTGCAGCTGGGGTGACAGAGCAAGACACTGTTTCTCTTTAAAAAAATAAAATAAAAAAGGTGTTCTATACAAATGTTATATTAATTATAATTTTTTATAACAAGATTTTAATTCATTAAGTAAAAGATCCACCTTTCCTTATTAATGATATTAAATATATCTCCCTTCCCATTTTTAAGGTTTGTATCTCTTATTTTATAAATTGTATCTTTGTCATTTGAGCACTTATCTGTATAAGGACAATACATTTCCCACTGGTGGCTAATGAGGGAGTTATGGGAGGTTGTAGAACACTATTGAAATGCAAAGCTTTGTGAGGCTTTTTTATTTAATATAAAATCATTTTGTGTAGTGATTTCTGATTGACCTCAGCTTGAGCAAGGCCATTGGTTTGTTAATGGGACTCTGAATTTTAAAAGAGGAAGCAGGAATTTATTACATTTGGGACTTGCTGCCACTCCTTGTCTACGTCATAAGAGGTCAGTTGCCCTTGCTCACACTGACCTATTCCTTACCTCTCTTTCGTGCCAGAAGAACAGAAACCTGACCCTTTGGGGACACCACCCTCTCCCCTACTATTCTCTCTAACCTGAGGCAAACTTTCTCCCACTTCCCAGAACCTCTCAGAAGTGGTACTGTCAGCCTGCTCCTTGGAAGGCAGAACCATTTTAAGAACCTTGAACTTCTTTCACCTCTTAGGGTCTCCTTGTGAGAAGTTTTTGACTTCTGCTTCTTTGAGTGTTAGTAGCCAGCGTTGTGCTTAGCACATCCCAAACACACACTGTCTCCTGGAGAAGTTTCCTAACTGTCCTTGTCTAGCCCGATATTATAATAGTATCCCAGAAGCTCAGGCTGTCATTCTAACTTAAAGTCCCAAATCAATCAGCCCCTTTGTCTTGTCACAGGTCCTCTTTCCCTACTTGCCCTCACCTGTTTTGGACTTCAGCCTTTCTTATTTTTGAACAGATCTATTTCTCACATTTTCTTCCCTTCTAATAGCTCTCCTCTCACCCTCTCCTCCACTATGTCCTACTTGCCTTTAAAACATGCAAACGTGCCTCTCTCTCTCTCTTTTTTTTTTTGACAGGGTCTCACTTTGTTGCCCTCGATTGAATGCCATGGCTTCATAGCTCATAGCAATCTCAAATTCTTGCCTCAGCCTCCCGAGTACCAGGAGTACAGGCGCCCGCGACAACGCCTGGCTGTTTTTAGAGATGGGGGTCTCGCTTTAGCTCAGGCAGGTCTCCAACTCCTGAGCTCAGGCAATCACCTGCCTTCGCCTCCCAGAGTGTTAGGATAATAAGGTGTGAGCTGCAGTGCCCAGCCAACTTTTAACTTATTCTGCTTCTTTATAAATGTATTGTGACTTCTTTTTGAAGTCCAAATCCCAAAACTCTGTGCCTACCCACCACATCCATCTCCTTATCATGGAGATAGTGTTGAATGACAGGGGAAAGAGAGAACACGTGCCACTCCCAGCTTCTCAAACAAGTAAAGGTGGTGTTCCAGTTATCCTTTGCTACCTTAAAACAACAACCATTTTATTATTATATCTCACAATTTATGGCTCAGGAAATTGAGCAGAGCTCTGCTGGGTGATTCTTCTGTTCTACTGATACTGATGGAGATTATGTGGTTGTATTCAGTCAGTAGGTGGGCTTTTCTAGAGAGTCCAAGACAGCTGGACTCTCATGCTTGGTGCCTTGCTGGGGAGGGGTGAAAATGTCCGTGTGGGCCCTCTCCATAGGACAGCCTCAGAAACTTGACTTCTTACCTGGTGGCCCAGAGCTCCAAGAACAAGTGTTGTAGTGAATAAGTCAGAAGCTACAAGGACTTTATGATTCAGTCTCAGAAGCTACATAGTATTAGTTCTGTCTTATTCTGTTAGTCAAAGCATTCACAAGGGAAGGGAAAGTTGTAAGGGAAAGGCACATAGATGCTCACCTTTTGATGAGAGCACTGTCATAGATTTGCAATTATGTTTTAAAATCACTGTAGATAAAACCATTGAGAGAAATTCATGGATAGAGTTGGGGTGAGAGTTAAGAATTAACTAGTTGATAGCTAAGGTTCACTAGAGTTAGCAAGGAATAATGCCCCCCCTTATACATTTATACTGGGCATCCTTGACTTGTGCTTAGCCATCAGCCTCACAACCTAATAACGCCACCATAGTTGTACCCTCTAAAATCACCAGTACCATTAGATTCAGTAAGCTTTTCTTTGTCTTTGTTTTCTTGACTTTTCTTCTAAACTTAACACTGGTCAAGACTCAGCCCTCTTCGATCATATTCTTAAACTCAGGCTCTACAACTGAATATGCTGTTTCTTGTCCTAACTCTACTCGGGCAAAGCCATTCCTCCCAGACTATTACTCTGGGTTTGGCCCTTGACCCCTTTTCCTGGTCCCCTTGTACTCACTCCCATGTAAAGTGCACCCCTTCATCACAACTGTACTGCTGATGCCCAGATACTTCCCAGCTCTCATTTCTTCCTGTCTTAAAATGTTTGCAGGAGAGCAATAAATTTAAATAGAGAGCTATGGTAGCTCTCTATTAGATATCAACACTACTATCTTCAAATAATTCCAGGCCTTTACAAGTTGATCTAATCTTCTTACCCCTGGAATCACCGACCCTTAATGCCTTATACAATCAGTCATTACTATCACTGAGCCTGCTTCCCATGTTTTTATACTAAGAGTCATCTTTGAATAATCTTTGAGTCCACATCTAATTGTTCACAAAGCCGTATTATCTATCAGATTAAATATGGCATGTTTGTGACAGCACTTTACAGTCTCTAAAGCACTACCTGGGTGATTTCATGAATCCAAGCTCAGAACAGATTTTCAGGGTCTGCTCCCCATTTGGTTTCTACACCTCATCTCTTATCAACTTCTTGCCCTACTTCTCTCTCTGTTCCTTATCATCCAATTTCCCATCAGAAACCCATTACTGTGTATGCGCCCTGCTTTCCTCCAAATCTTTACTTTTAGTAATGCTACCTACTTGACTCCATTGCTCATTGCTCCAACAAGTGTTTGCAAAAGAAATAGATACCCCACCGTCTCCTCCTTCTCTTCTGTATTTATTCAGAGCCCACCCTACAGCCAAAATTGCCTTCTTCCCACAAACTCTGAAAGGCTGACCTCCCAGAAAAGCTCCCCAAGACTGGCTTCTTGCACAGTACACACAACCTTTACTCATAGAGGATTTGAAAATTGTTCCTTTGGAGCAGTATGTCTTATTTCCTCTGCTTCTGGAGGATGTGGCTCTGGCTTTCATCAAGTTTTTCCTTGGGCTTAGTTTGGTGCTCAGTACCTGGGCCCACCATGGTCAAATGCAGATTCTGGTTAATACCCAAAGGCTCTTTGGCTTATCTGAAAGAGTCTGGCAGCTGGGGCTTGGCCCTTTCTCTTTCCCTCTTTCTTTCTCTCCTGTTTCCTATGATTTCCCATGACATGTTAAAAAAAAAAAAGGCATTTAAAAAAAGTTTTCAAAAGAATAAACACTCAAATATTTGCACAAAGGAGTAGCAGGAAAAGCTCCTCCCACAACAAACACGCGGTAACAATTTAATTTATCAGGCTAGCTAAATTGGCAGTGGGATAACTGAGATATCCGTGGATAGCTGGGATAGTTCTGGAACTATACTTTACACCATTGAAGCAAAAGCTGGAATAAAAGTGACTTTCCTGGGTCACAGGGCTGGTCAGTGGCAGAGCAGAATCAGGAGTTGAGCCACCTGCCCTGTCCTTTCCACTGCACCCACTAAGAAATGCAATTATTTTAAAAGAGCACATAATGCCTCCTTTTGTACAATGCTTTAGTAATTCATTATTTGCTACGATGTCTATTGTCTCGTTTGACATCTTCCTTTAAAAAGTGATACAACAAAACACTTTTTTTTTTGAGACAGTCTCAAGCTGTCACCCTGGGTAGAGTGCTATGGCATCATAGCTCACAGCAACCTCCAACTCCTGGGCTCCAGCGATCCTCTTGCCTCAGTTTTTCTATTTGTAGCAGAGACGGAGTCTCGCTTTTTGCTCAGGCTGTTCTCGAACTCTTGAGTACAAGCAATCCACCAGCCTCGATCTCCCAGAGTGCTAGGATTACAGGCGTGAGCCACTGCGACCGGCCAAAACACTCTTTCTTTTAAAGTTCATAGCGCTTTCGGTTTTTTCCGGGTCTGAATCTGGTGGTTGAAAAGGAGTCGGGAGGATGAGAAGTTAAAAGGAGAGGGAAGGGAAGCGGAGACGGTGCGCGCAGGGTGCCTGGGGAATCTGAGGAACAGGAGAGCACCCCACTCCTCTCTCCTTGGAGAGCTCCAGCTTGGCGGGACATTTCACCAGGATCACGGAGTGTGGCGATCGCTCTGGTTTCCCGGAGCCCCCACATGCTCCCCGCCACAGGCGAGGGTGCGCCGGAGAAAGGTACGGTGACAGAGTTGTCGCGCGCTGGGCGGCGGGTGACGACCACCGCAGAGCGCCTTCCACCTCGGATGCGTGGGGTACAGCTGGCAGACTGAGCGGTGCGGGGCCAGGGCTGTTGGGGTGCAGGGCGGGATGGGAGGGGCCCGGCACCCAGGGCACGCCTCTGCCAGGTCCCCCACTCGGTGTCTGAGACCTTGCTCCTCCCCGAGTGGCGGGTACATAAGTCACCGCGGAGGGCAGGGGCGCAGCAGGTCCTCAGACACTGGGGGAGAAGGAGACCCGCGCTCCGCCGGCAGCCGCCGCCGCGCCAGTCAGTCCCTGAGGTCCGAGGGAGCAGGTTTCCCCCTGGAGGGATAGGCGTGAAGAGGCTGCAAAGGAACTTCCCCCTTGGCGGGAGCCCCCTCGGCTGGCAAAGATGGTGGGCCTGACAGCCTCCGACGTGCACCCCACCCTGGGCGTGAAGATCTTCTCAGCTGGGGTGGGGGCCTGCGTGGCGGACGTGATCACCTTCCCGCTGGACACCGCCAAAGTCCGGCTACAGGTAGCGCCCGACCGGGATCGCAGGTGTCTCAGGGCAGAGAGGGGACCTCTATTCTGTGCGTCCCTATGATGCCCTGCTTTGGTTTAAACACCCGTTTTCGGGGAGGGCAGCTGGTCACCTTAAGAAACAGTTTGACCTTGTCCCAGGGCTGATGCTTTCAGATGGGAAAATGGAACTATTTCGGGGATTTAACTGAAAAGCTGGAAGAGCCATGTAGGGTGCGGTGACCACGCCAAATTCTCCCCAAAGTGAGGGGGCACTAAGTGTCCTAAGAGCTAAGAATTTCGGCCGCTCCTGAGTTCACCGATCAGGTGCTTTTTCTTTCTTCTTCGTTCTGCAGGGTACTGTCCCATCCTACTGTCGTAGGGGCTCTGGAGAGTTCATGGGAAAGCCAGGGTGTTCAAAACGTGCATTTGTAGCCAGCCTCCCTTAAATGTATAATTACGCACGGATTATACACACACACACACACACACACACACACACACACACATACTTTCACAGGGAATGGAGATGATGCTGCTGAAAACGTGAAGTGAAAACAGTAAGGCAGTGGGAAAACGTTGGCTTAAGATTTCTCGGTAGAGGACGGCCTGGTGCAGCCTTGCTCTTTCCTCACCAGCTGGGCAGGACCCCACTACTCAATTTTCACTTCCTTTAACCTGCACTTTCTCATTTCCAGGTCCAAGGCGAATGCCAGACCTCCAGCGCCATTAGGTATAAAGGTGTCTTGGGAACAATCACCACTCTGGCAAAAACTGAAGGGCCGATGAAACTGTACAGCGGGCTGCCGGCCGGCCTTCAGAGACAAATCAGCTTCGCCTCTCTCAGGATTGGCCTGTACGACTCAGTTCAGGAGTTCTTCACCACCGGGACAGAAAGTAAGCAATGAGTGTTTCTGAGAAGAGCGGAACAGCCCTCAGCCTGGCTCTGTCCAAAAATGTAACACACCCGGTAGGGTCTTTAGGACAGATTGGCAAGGAAACAATATTTGAACTCTTCTCCCTTCCTCAAATGTGAGCTTATTGGTCAGAGAAAGAAAAAAGTGTGCAAAATCAATTCTTTATTATTATTTTTTTTTACTTTTCTTTTTTATTTCATGTTAATGTGAGGGTGCAAACAACCAAATCAGAATATTTGAATTTGTTAAGTAGAGTCCCTGATCAGTTCATTAGATGCAGGGTTGTACTTATAAAAATCACCCAGCCAGTCATGGAAACTTTGAGCCTAATTTGGAGCTCCATTTGAAGAATATGGATGGGCTACAAAATAATATTTAACTCAGAGTTCCATTGCATCTTAGCCTTTTGGCTAAGGTCAACTGTAGTACCTCAAAGTTCCCCAAACAGCAAAGTATATCAGAAACATCTATGGAGATTGTTAAAAATCCAGATGAGAAGTACCACTACCACAGTCCTCTGAATGTCTGAGATGAGAGAATCTATGTTTTCACAAGCTCCCCTGATACTTTTGATATGTTACAAAGTATGAAACCCTTTATTTTGAAGTAAAAGAAAGCCTAACTTTGTGAAGAGAGCAGAAAGGACAGGAAAAGACTTATTTCCATTTAAGAGGTTCCCTGTAAAATGTCTGATGCTAGGAAAGACCAGAGAAGAAAAAGTGGACTTATGCTGTAGTGGGTTTGATTAGGGGAAGAAGAGAAGAAAACTAATACTCCCAGAGTGCCAGGGTATTCTGAGAGCTCCTGCCAGGTTAGCTGGCATTTATTTGAGCACCTACTACGTGTCAGGCACCATTCTAAGTGCTTCAGATCCATCATAACTGGAAAAGTACTATTATCCTGTATCAAATGGGGAGACTGGGCATGCAACAGTTGCTTAACTTGCCAGGATCACACAGCTGTTTGGGAGCCACACCAGAGTTCAAACCCAGGCAGGTGGGCCTCTGACTCCAGGCTCCTAACCCCTGTGCTCTACTGCCCCCGGAACTTTGCATGAGATTCTATACATCATTCAAACCACACCACAAGGCTGTGAATAGGAAGTGTTAACTGACTATCAAAGAAATTAACACACACAAAATCACACAGCTGGTAAATATCAAAGACACTTCCACCTGAGGAGCCGAGAGATGTGCTGATGGTAAGATGAACCTTGGTAGATTTCATCCTTTCTGCTGAGTAACTTTTGAATGCTATCATTTTATGGGAAACTGGTAAATATTATTTATACAACTCTGTAAGGTAGACTTACCCACACAAATACTTTGAAAGTGAAGAAAAAGTCTGGATGTTTCTCAGTCAATACTGCATTGTCAGATTTATAGATGTAGCAAGGGAAGCAGCACAGAGGATGTGAAGCTGCCCGTGCAGGTGACTTTCCTCACAGACTCTTCCAACCTGTTGCTACGTACTTTAGGCACCAAGGTAATAAGGTATATTTTGGCAGTATTCTACATTATGCCTATCCAGTTCATTTAGCAAGCTTTATTGAACTGCCATATGTCAGCAACTGTATCAGGTATACAGATGACAGATATGTGTCTAGGCAGAGCTTACCGTTAAGAGCGTGGGGGTGTGGGGAGACATTAATAGACACATGCTGTGTTTTAAGTACAGCAATGATGGGGATACCTTCTGAGAAATGTGTTGCTAGGCAAATTAGTCATTATGTGAACATGAGAGAGTAGACTTACACAAACACAGATGGTATAGCCTACTACATACCTAGGCTATATAGTATAGCCTACTGCTCCCAGGCTGTAAATCTGTACTGCCTATTACTGTACTAAATACTGTAGGCAACGAGAACACAATGCTAAGTATTTGTGTATGTAAACATAGGAGAGGTAATGCATTGCACTAGGTCATTACGGTGGCTAGGACGTCATTTAATCAATGGGAAAAAAGAAAGGCAGTAAGGAGCCAGATCACCAAAGGCCTACCAGGCAATGCTAAGGAGTTTGGAGCTTATCCTTACAGTGGTGGGAAGTCATTATAAAAATGTCAAGCAGGGGAGTGGCATAAATGATTTATATTCACAAAATATTACTTTGTGATTACTCAGGATAGAGTATTTAGAGACAAGGCTAAATTAGAAAGGGGTAAGTTAGAAAGTGAGAAATGACCAGTGTATGCCCTATAGTGTTACACTAGGGAAGGGGGAGGGTCAATCAGAAAGATTTGGGAAGTATAATGAGCTGAACTGGTAAATAACTGGAAGTATGTCATAAAGGAAAGGTCGAAATATAAGATGATTTCCAAGCTTGTACTCTTTCTCATCCTTCTAAGCCAGAAGGCTACAGATACCATTTATTGAGGGAGAGAATATAGAAACTGTCATGGGGAAGGGAAGACATTCATTCTAGGACAAGTCAACAGGAAACGTCTAGTAGGTGCATGAGTTTGAGAGAAGGGTCTGACCAGATTGCAGGAAGTCTCAGAAGGGATCATCGATGGGCCAAACACAGCAGAGAGATCTAGTGTGGCGAGGACAGAAGAGTGATCATGGTATCTAACATATCAAATCAGGGTTCACTGGTTTCCTGGCAAGAACATCTTCAGCTGAGGCGGGACCCAGGTGAGGGGCAATAAGCCAGGTTGTAGAGGATTGAGGAGAAGATGGGCTGTGAGAAGTAAAGACAAAGTATCTTGTAAATACTTTTTTTCTCTTTTTTTCTTTTTTTTTTTTTAGTTCTTAGAAAAGAAGAAGAAGAAAAAAAAATACATAGCCTCTTTCCCAAGGCACTTGACTTGGGAACTAAAGAGGATTGGAGGGCTGGAGATTGGAGTATAGGATGAGAGCATCAGTACATCAAAATAAATTACAAATTTGGGCCAAAAATAAAGGCAACTGTAATCATATAATATTTTCATACAGATAATTATCTCTTATATGCTCAACTTCTGGCTTAGAAGGATGAGAAAAGAGTACCGTCATAATAGAAATGAAAAGAATGCTGCCATTTTTGTGTATTTTCTTTGTGCCAGACAGTATTTTAAATGCTTTCTTGATATTATTTTAAATCTCATATCAACTCTATGAGGTAGATATTATTATTCCTATTTTACAGATTAGGAAATAGAATTAGAGAGACTGACAAGGTCCTTGATGGATAAATGTTATTGAGCCATAATTTTATAATTAGAGGAACAAACATCAGGCTTCAAGACTATTTGTATTACATAATAATCTGCCTTGAGAAACACAAACTAATTTTTTCAATGTTTTAAGACAAAAAGCACTTTCTTAGCTTCTTTCTTCTTATTTGTCCCCATCAGATGTTGTAGCCTAATACTGCTTAATGTTCCATACTGGGGCAACTTGTCCACTTGGCTATTCCTAAGAAAACTCTAATAATTAACATTATCCTTTATGGGAAGAAGACCAAGCATCATTGGTGACTGGTGCCTATTTTCAGGTGGGAAATATTGAAAAAGAGAGCTAAACATGGGAGAGAACTCAGATGAATACAGGAAAGAACAAAGCCACTGTTTAAATAAGGATTGTGTTTTCTTTTTCCTTGAAAATCTTTATTTTTTTGAAAATTGAAGACCACTGAATTTCTCTAGCCCAGTTCTGGGTTGGCCTATGATCAACCCATGGGCAAGCATTTGGGAAACAGAAAAGATATAAGAATACAAAAATGCAAACCACTAAAGTTTAAAAAATGTGGATGCATGCCACGTCTTGAAGTTGTTTGTTAATAAATCCTTTCTTCTTTCTGGATGGCAACAGGTAGTCTGGGAAGCAAGATCTCAGCTGGCTTAACAACAGGAGGAGTGGCAGTGTTCATTGGGCAGCCCACAGAGGTTGTAAAAGTCAGACTTCAGGCACAGAGCCATCTACATGGCCTCCAACCTCGCTATACCGGGACTTACAATGCTTACAGAATCATAGCAACAACAGAAGGCTTGACAGGTCTTTGGAAAGGTAACTAACTGAGTAGAGTTTATCACTATCCAAACACATATATCTAATTAGCACTTTATTATCAAATAGAGTAAACATTTTCTTTTTTTTTCCCCCAGGGACCACTCCCAATCTGATGAGAAATGTCATCATTAATTGTACAGAGCTAGTAACATATGACCTAATGAAGGAGGCTCTTGTGAAAAACAAACTACTAGCAGGTAACTTCCAATTTATATAACAAACCACTCTGTACCTTTAGAATTTCATCTTGGAGTTTTTGCAGCCAAATTAGACTCAATCCCTTGACTCTAGTAATTTTCTCTTTTTAAACAATTAAGTAATTTTAAACATTATACACATATACAATAGAACCTTCATAGTTGGCCGCTTCCCTACATTGACCACCTCCTTAAATTGACCTAAATTTTCATAGACCAGACAGGCACCTCATGTGCTCAATGGAAGGTCCTATGTTGAGCACCTCTGTATGTGAGCAGTTTGTTACAGTCCCCTGGGTTGTCAACTTACAGAAGTTCTACTGCGTGTGTGTGTGTGTGTGTTTGTGTGTATAAAACTTTTTGAGATGCAGAAAAAGATCCAAACCTTAAGTTTAGGAAGTTTTGTTACGACAGACAATATACAAATTCATTTTTATGTCAACATTATTCTCATTTAGTCCTAGTATGTGGGAGTTTTATTAGCATTTTGTTCTTTATGCAAGAGAATTCAGGATAGAAGGTCCTTTCTGTACTATAAGGAGATTATCAGTGGTTTTATCCTAAAAGTATTCTAGTACCATAGGATAGGTTCTTAAAAAGAATATTCTAACAGTTTCTAGAGACATTAAACTTTCCTTGTATGATGATTTTAATTCAATAAAAAAGTGTTAGAGGCTGGACACGGTGACTCATGCTTATAATCCCAGAACTTTGGGACGCTGAGGTGGGAGGATTGTCTGAGCTCATGAGTTTGACACCAGCCTGAGCTAGAGTGAGACCCTATCTCTAAAAAGAACTGGGCATTGTGGCGGGCACGTATAGTCCCAGCTACTAGGGAGGCTGAGGCAAGAGAGTTGCTTGAGACCAAGAGTTAGAGGTTGCTGTGAGCTATGACGCCAGGGCACTCTACTAGGGGCAAGAAAGTGTGACTCTTTCTCAAAAAAAAAAAAATGTATTAGATGCCCATATATTAGGCAATACACCAGTCCCTAAAGGCACAAAGAAAACTGACAGATTATTTTTTAAGTGTTTACAATACACTATGCCATTTACTATTTGCCATCTTTTCTAGTATAAGTGTAACCTTTCTTAATATATTTCATTTATTTATAAGACATCTACAATGACCCCCTGTTATCAACAGGTTTACAAGGATATGACAGATAACTAAACCATTTCATTGATCCACTTTAGATGACGTCCCCTGCCACCTGGTGTCAGCTCTCATTGCTGGATTTTGCACAACGCTTCTGGCCTCCCCGGTGGATGTGGTAAAAACCAGATTTGTTAATTCTACACCAGGACAGTACAAAAGTGTTCCCAGTTGTGCAATGACAATGTTCACTAAGGAAGGACCAACAGCTTTTTTCAAAGGGTAAGATATAATCTTCTGTGTCTATAATGTGTTCAGGTGTCCGTGTGCTTGGGGACACTGCCTTGTCTGAACCATTGACAGCCTACCAGCCTTAGTATATGCAGTATACTAGTGTTGGCTTTTCCTTGCCACAGATGTCTCTAATTCACTAACTTCAATGTCATAAAATAAAAAGCTGTGATGTTAAAATTTTCTCAGTCTTGATCAAAGGCTCATAGGAAATCAATGCCCTTGCCATTGGTTGTAATCTCTTGGAAATGTAGACAGAATTCTGCCTTCTCTGGGCGGAAGAATTATAAAGTAAAGGGAATGCCTAATAGAGAGTATGAGGAAACAGGATTTGATTTTTTTCACTACTTTAATTTGATGGACTCAACTTTTATGCCTTTATTAAGGCAAAACTAGGAAAAGTCATTACCACCAATCTAGGAAGTGTTTCAGATAATTATGTGGTCTGGTAATTATGATACTCACCTGCATAACACTAGTATCATGTAATAGAGCACATTTTCCCACAATGCAATATTACGTTCTATTGGAAAATACCTTCCTAAGAAAATATAGTATGAACTAATTTTTGGATATATTCAGTAAGAATTACACTAATGGTTAAATAATAAAATTCTATGACCCTTTCGAATTGTAACACAGCACTTCAAACCTTATAAAATAACCATGAATGTTTATTATGTAAGAAGTTCTAATTCACCATAATCTGCATTTCTGATACATGTATACAAATGAAATGCATTACAAAATTAACTTAAAATGGATAGACCAGTTATTGAACCATTAGCCATTTTATAATAATTTTTTTTTAATTTAAAAGCTTTTGGGGGGAGACAACTAAAACATGGATGAACCCTGTAACGCTATGCTAAGTAAAATAAGCCATATGCAAAAGGACAAATACCATGTGATTCTACTTACATGGTACATGGATGGTGATGGTGGTTATGCTCAATACCAATGCACTTCATGGTACTGAACGTGTACTTTATAATGGTCAAAATGGCAAATTTTATTTCTATTTTTTCCCCAATAAATCCCCCATACACCTGGGATTCAAAAGGAACATGTAAGAGACCTGGTGTAAAAATCCCTTCAGGGGGCTACAGGCTAGGGTTTGCCTTTTTTTTTTTTTTTAATTAAATCTAACCAACGCTGATTTAACTGATGACATTTTCTTTTCCTGGAACATTTGTGTGCTGCAAATAGGCATTCAAAATCAATCGTTTGGTTTGCCCAGTTTGGGAGAATTTCCAAAAATAGCAATGACAACAACAACAGCAGAAAACCCATTTAAACCCATTCAAACACTTAGTTTCTCTAAGGACGAGAATTGCCAATATTGAGACAGAAGTGACTTCTTGACTCCGTAATGTGGTCCACTTACCACTTCTTTGCTTTCTCCTCTTGCTTTCTGTTTTAATAGTTTCCTAACCTCCCATTCTGCAAAGCAAAACAAAACCAAACCTTCCCCTCCTCTCACAAAAAAACTAAAAAGAGTTTTTGAGAAAGTCCTTGTCAGAAGAAAACACAGGCTCCCACCAGGGAGTGAAAGATGTTTGTGGATTTGTATAGATGTCATCACCTGGTTTGTTGTTTTGAAGTAATATAGAATATCTGGAGGAAAGGTGATTTTCAGCAGAGGGAAAGATGAAGAACTGGTGATTTTAAGCATCTTCATGTGTGCAGTGGCAACACTGTACTGTAATAGGTTTAAGACTTTCAGACAAACTAATAGAATGGTAACGTGCACTCTTCTAGATTCGTACCTTCCTTCTTGCGACTCGGATCCTGGAACGTCATTATGTTTGTGTGCTTTGAACAACTGAAGCGAGAACTGATGAAGTCAAGGCAGACTGTGGACTGTGCCACATAATGAAGTTCAAGGAAAAGATGTAAC